CTGCTCACAGACTCATGTTCATGTTTGTGCTGATGTTCAATGTTTTATGTTATGAGTGCTTAGTGTATATTTAGTTGATGTTTTTCTTAGTTCATATCTTAGATGTTATTACTGTTTTTCTTATACATTTTATTGTTGGATGTAACTGGGACCCTGTGTACATAATTTCGCTCCACCACATGTACCACATGAGGTGCGAATGACAATAAAGAAACTCTGACTCTGACTCTGACTCTGACATATTTTGTGTTTACATGCATCCGAAGGAATCCCCCAGCCCTCCCGAATCCGCTGTAGTTACCATGCCAGGTCATTGAATGACGCTGTGAATTTTGTACCTTCACCTAATGCGAATGCGCCTTTCCTGTGAGCTAAAAAGCTCAGCTAACAACAATTTAACAAGTAAAAGCTGGATTTTGGCTGGATTGTGGATAAGAGTCGACAGATTTGACGCCAACCGGGACCGCTTCCTCTAACAGCTCCACACTGAGTGGACCAGAACCGAGTCGACGATGTCGGATTTTACTCCATGATAATCAGTAGCTGTTTTACAACTGCAGGTAAATCAACATTCTTAATAATGTTAGTTTGTGTTTACTTCGGTTACAAAACAACCGAGTTTTCTTTTTTTCCTGAAAGAAGAAGAAGCTGTCTCCCACCAGGCGGACCGTTTCTGAACGAGGCTTGGCCCAGGTGCAGTGCAGGAGAACGTCAAAGAGAGAGCAATGTTGGATGAACTACTTATTTAAAATTCCCCTCAGTTGTTTTATTCAATCCATTCAATTTTTTAAGCTGCATTAATCAAAGGAGTGACAGCCTGAACGAGTCAGATGAACAATGTGGCAAGGTGTTCCATACCTGATGAAAACAAGAGTCCAGTTGTTCATTAATGTAGCTTACAGTTAACTTGTTTTAATAGTGTGCTCAGTTTAATTATCAGTGTTTGTGTGACATACAGTTTGTGGTGTTGAATAAATAAATAAAAATTAAACCTGATGTCTTCATTTTCAACTTGTGTTCACGCTATATGTTTTGCATCATTTTAAATTTGAATTACATAATGTCCAGATAGCTTAATTTAGCTCAGAGCTTCATTATATCTCTCACACTAACATAAGTACTGTTTATTATTATTAAACTGTTATTATTTAGCACATTTAGTATGTTACAGTGCAGCGCGACACGTGCGCGTGCCACGTTCTGTCACGGTTGGGATTTTGGATTCAAAATAGCCAGACACAGGAGTGCAAAAACAAGCACAGTTTTTATTATTGGCTGTGGGTGAGAAGTCAGGATCAGCCGTGTTAACAGGTCCTCACAGGTATTAGGGAGAGAGTCACCTGTCAGGACTGCAGCGATGACATCACCGGTCCTGTGCAGAGCAGCTGAAATAACGTGGTTTGAGGGGCAAATCCAATAACGGGGTCCGGTTGTTAAAGCAGGGGTCATGAACAGGAAGACAGAGGTCCAGATACAAAATCCAAAAACGTAATCCGTGAAGTGTGGTTTTAGTAGAGGAAACAGGGTGTGTTACCATGGCCAGAGAAGCAAACAAATCCAAAAGAAGCAGGCAAGGCGAGGAGTCCAAAAACAGGTGAGGGGTCAAGGCAAGGATGCATGGCATGAAATAGGATACTATGATTAAAGGCTTCAGAATCAGGGACCATGGAAGGTATAATAATTCAGCCTGGTGGAGAGGGAGAATGGAGTTTATAAAGGGTGCAGAGCAGGTGAACTAGATGAGCTGAACAGGTGAGTGTAATCAGGGCTGATGAGCTGAAAGTGCAGAGGGGGGATGTGGCTAATGACAGAAGGAAAAACAGCATGATGACAAAGAGGAGCAGAAACATGACATGATGGGGCTGTGAGTGTGAGACAGGGGCTGATGGGGGGTCAGCGGGGGCCGCTGATCATGACACGTTCTATAAACAGCGATACTAGAACTGGATCTGGCTGTGTCTCTTCCAACACAGATGTCGGTCACAGCACCTAGAATCTGATGTAGATTAACTACGAGATGTGGTTTAATACAAAGCCTCAGCGGGAGATGTTTACATTATCAGCGGGCAGTCAGCGAAAAACCTCCACTCTGGAAGGTGGGTTGATTCAAAGAGGGGGCCCACTGGTGTCGTGTAAATGATCAGCAGAACCGCAGAGAGAAACCTGCGGATGCACTCAAAATATGCGCCGTGTAAACAGCCCCCTAGTGGATTCTGCTGAAAAGAGTCATTATGAAATAAATATGCCATTATGAAATAAAGAAGCCATCATGGAAAACACAATTATGAAATAAAATAATAAAAATGAAAAAAATTCTTATTTCATAATGCTTTATTTATTTCCTGATGCATGCTCAATAATCCAGGTAGAAAAATCTAAAAACGTTAAATCTGGTCCTCTGGACGAAACGTTTCTACATTTTTTTGTTGTTTTGCTTTGTTTTGTTTTTTGAATATCCAGAGGACCAGATTTAACTTTTTTAGAGCTTTATTTATTTATTTAATTTTGAGCATCACAGTGTTCCAATTCAAAATAGTTGCTTAATGTAATCCCAGAATGCTGGAGTAAAGTTTTGACATATGCAGGAAGCTCTCCTTTTAGCATAAAACATAAAAACTTCATCCTTCTCTTCCCTGCTTAAAAAATACAAAAATTATAAAATATAATTAGTAAAAACTGGTCCAAATCTGCCTACCTTCAGTCTAAACTTGAACTCCAGTCAAAAATTGGTTGCTTGTTGCAAACATAAATCACTGAAAATGTACCTGTCTTTGTCTCAGTTTAGATTCTTTAACTAGCTTCCAGTAGTTACAGCACAACAGAAATTACATTTAGAGAGACATTATGAACACTCTGCAGAAATGTAACAGTACCCTTTACATTTATGCAGGGACTAAATTATTTGTCTGCAACGGCAGCTGTCTATAAAAAGCCTTTAATTGAGCATGTTTTAATCTTTTGAAAATTTGGTGGCTAAAAGTACATTTGGGTCTGCACAGTTCATTATAGAATTGTGTGCGACAATGAATAAATACCTAAATGTAGAAGTATCACGGTTATATTTGCACCATGAGATTGATTTTCCTTTAAGATATATTTGTGTAAAGAGAGTTCTTTTTAAAGTATGCTGCTGAGATGAGAAAAATCACTTTTCTTTTGTCAACACAAGTGAGTCTGAGCCCTTTAATTAAAAAAAAACCAACAACACAGGGTTATCTTCTACATCTTTACTGCTATTAAATGCTAACTGCATTGATACACTGCCATTCTGTATGTTTGTCGTTTCTGTCTTTTCAGGCACAACTCATTTAAGAGACATCTGCCCAGGCAGATGCAGGTGGGCAGTTTAGATCTGGGAAATGACTATATGGTGGACAAGGATGAGAAGCCAACCAGCATTGGGCGCATCCAGCCTGAACTCTACCAACAGATGGCCTCAGAGTCCGAAGACTCATCCAAGACTGGAAGCGGTAAAAACTGCGGCAGGATTAACTTCTCACTCAAGTACGACTATGAAAATGAGGCACTCCTTGTCAACATCCTCAGAGCAGTAGATCTGCCTGCCAAGGACCTATGTGGATATTCTGACCCTTATGTGAAGGTCTACCTGCTGCCTGACCGCAAGAAGTTCCAGACTCGTGTCCACCGGAAGACACTCAATCCCACATTCAGTGAGAACTTCCAGTTTTCTGTGCCTTATGAAGAGCTGGCTGTCAGGAAGCTACACATGAGTGTCTTTGACTTTGACAGATTTTCCCGGCATGATATGATTGGAGAGGTCGTGCTAGAAAATTTGTTTGAGACGTCAGACTTGTCACGAGAGACGAACATATGGAGGGACATCCAGTATGCCACCAGTGTAAGAAGCTTACCCTTTTCTGTTTTTCACCAAACAGCACAAAATGTAAGACCATTCTTGGCAATACAATCTACATATCTTAAAAAAAGTTCAATCTGGTCCTCCAGAGGACCAGATTGAACTTTTTTAGATTTTGCTACCTGGATTATTGAGCATGCATCAGGACAATCTACATATCTTATGTCTATGGTCTATTTCATTCTAAATGGGGACATATATGTGAGGAAAATGCATCTGTGGGTTGAGCAGCAAAGTTAAGTGAGTTGCACCTATGAAAAATTTGTCAATTATTTTCTATGATTGTCAAACAGCTTATTCTATTACTGACTCTTGTTTTGAACTGCTGGTACGCTAGGTGCTGACACACAGGTGCTTGATTGACACCTTGTTGTCAGCACTTGTGAGCAACCAGTGGCAGTCCCATATCTCCACAGTCTGGGCTCAAACTCTGTCCTTCAAGAGGACAATGCTCACCCCCATAGAGCCAAATTTATCAGAAGCTACAATCAAAAATAGGGAGTGGAGGAGGAAATGGCCTAGCTGCGGTCCTGACCTCAACCCCAGAGAACAGCTTGAGCGTTCTGTTCATTCCAGAGCAACTAACATTGGCTGACCTGTGACAAATGCTGGTTGAAGACTGGGATTCCATCCCCCAGCAGTGTGTCCATCATGGTGAGGCGGTGCCAGACTGTTGTGGCTGTGTGTGGTTCTTCCACATGCTACTGAGAACCTTGTTTAATAAATAAATTGATAAATACATACAATACAACACAACTTTATTTATAAAGCACTTTAAAAAAACACCACCATTGGCCAAAGTGCTGTACACTAACACATACAAGCATAAAACCAAAAATGGTCAATGGACTGTACTTATATAGTGCCTTTCTATCTTATTGCGATACTCAAAGCTCTTTACACTACAATCTGTGCTTCATTTACTCATTCATACAGCACTCTACTAGACGTATACAAAGCTAATTGAACAAATCATTCTAAAGAGACTAATCAGAGCTTTAGATCACATTCATACACCGATGGGACACACATCGGAGACAACGAGGGGTTCAGTGTCTTACCCAGGGACACTTCGGCATGTGACTGCTGATGGATTCGAATCCCCAAATCTTGCATTGGAGGATGAATGCTCTAACCATTCAGTCACAGCCGCCCCTTATAAATAATAAAATCAACAGATATCCTAAAAGTAATGAACTGTTAAAATCATAAAACAACACAGAGCAATAAAACAAATAACTAAAAAACAGTTAAAAGTTAAAAGCCAATATTTCAGTCTGAGTTAAAAGCCAAATAGAAAAAATGTGTCTTCAGAGAAGATTTAAAAACAGGAAATGATGTCAAAGGCAGCTTGTTCTACAGTTTATAGGCAGTGACTGAGAACGCTCGGTCACCTCTCAGCCTCCTGTTAGTCTTTGGAACGACCAACAGCAACTGATCTGCTGACCTGAGAGAGCGTGAGGGAACGTAGAGCTGGAGCATGTCGGACAAAGACTGTGGGGCGAGACCATGAAGACATTTGAAAACAAATAAAAGAACCTTAAAATTTATCTGGAAATGAACTTGGAGCCAGTGTAGTGATTAACAGAGGTGATGAACTCTTGTTTTCTGGTACCAGTTAAAAGATGAGCAGCAGCATTCTGAACCAGCTGAAGTCGAGTCAGTAATGACTGGCTCAGAAAGACATAAAGTGAATTACAGAAGTCCAGATGAGTTGTAGTGAAAGCTTGGATTAAAATCTCAAAATGATGTGCACATAATTCTTGTTTCTTCAGACTTCAATCATTCGGTCCACAAAATTACACTTAACAAGAGTTGATAGCAAAAAAAAAAACTGTTTGGCATTGGCAGAAAATATTTGATATGTTTTTCATGAGCACAACCCACATAACGAACTCTGCTGCTTAACCCACAAATGTGTTTTTCTAACTAATGTGGCACCATTTATGAGGCCATAAACTCAGTTTCCAATACTATGAAACTGTTTGCCAAGAAACATCGTTACAACAATGAAATAATCAGTCAAAAACAATTTTTGACACAGACATTTTGTTCAAAGTTTCATAATCAAATTACTCAATGAAGACAGGCACAAAAGTTCAACCTTTACCTTTGTTGTTACTTTTAATTCCAAACAGACACATTGCCACTCCTTAAGCCACTGCAAACTAGACTTGTTAAAAAAACTTAATGAACAAACTGTAATTTATATTGAAAACTAGTACAGTATTTGTGGTAATTTATGATGTAATCATTGGTGCTGCCTCCTCCTGCAGACTCAAAGCTTCAACAGTTGCAGATGTTCTGTTTCTCCTGGTACTACAACATGCAGCCATATTTAGTGCATGTTACCTATAACTTTGGGTCAGATCCACACAGGAGAGTTTTTTACCTTTTTTTTTTCTGCATCTGTTTTCCTTCATCCTGATTCTGTCACCATCAAACCTAAATGTAAGTGGTATCAAAGAAACTAATTCATTTTGTGACTAACTTTAGCCAAGCTAAGATGGGTTTGTTTTTTTTCACTACTTTGTCCCTAATGTGGACTTTCTCTGACTCTAGCAACTTGGCCCTGGATGGAGAGGTTTTTTTTTTTTTTTTCATAAACAGAGAAAAAAGATTTTTGTTTAAAAAAATAAGCCTTTGTGTTCTTTTATTGTTCAGGTGATTTTGTATGTTCCAGACGTAACAATTTAGATGCACACTTTGGATATTTATGGAGACTACACCCCACGTGTCAATGTAAATTAAAAAGCAGTCATACTGTAACAAGAGTCAGCGGTTTGATTCCTGGCAGTGTCACATGTCAAAGTGTCTCTCGGCAGACACTGAACCTCTCACTGCTTCTGATGTGTCCCATCGGTGTACGGGGCATTGAAAGTTTTTCTTCTTTTTTACAGTTGTCTATAGAACATAAAACAAATGGAGGAAGTGATGTTGACTGAACGTGTTTGTGGTGTGTGAATGAAACTGGACGAAGCCTTACCAAGACTTTAACAACAGAACAATGGAGAAACGCTACCTCAGCTCTGTCGTCACTTCATCTGTAGTATGTTGAACTGAGCATACAGAGCCTTTGATACATCTCCAGGTTAAGTTGTGGCCTCAGTAAGTGGTCTCATTTTTCAATCTGATCTTCCCATAATTTCTAAATTAATATAGTGTATATATACATATGCTGTAGCATAAAAAATGTTATACTTCATGTCACACATTTGTGGAGAAAATTAGCTGACAATCACAAACTTTAAGCATGCAGCTTGTGCAACACAATGCCAGCCTTTAGCTTCTATAATCACTATAAGTCAATTTTATTTTTATTAGCTTGGATATACAGCAATATTAGATAATGAGGTGCTTAAGCACTTTATTATCCTTACTATTGTCCCTCCACTACCTGTGGAGGTTTGGAAATGTCTTGGAGAGATGGCAGTGAGGTTTTTGACTCAAATATTCAATGGCATATATGAGGGTGAGAAAATGCCTGAGGAATGGAGAAGAAGTGTGCTGGTGCCCATTTTTAAGAACAAGGGTGATGTACAGAGTTGTAGCAACTACAGGGAAATTAAGTTGATGAGCCACACGATGAAGATCTGGGAGAGAGTTGTGGAAGCAAGACTTCGATGAGAGGTGACAATCTGTGAGCAGCAGTATGGTTTCATGCCAAGAAAGAGCACCACAGATGCCATTTTTGCTTTGAGAATGCTGATGGAGAAGTACAGAGAGGGTCAGAAAGAACTCCATTGTGTCTTTGTGGATTTAGAAAAAGCATAAGACAGAGTGCCAAGAGAGGAGGTATGGTATTGCATGAGGAAATCTGGAGTGGCAGAAAAGTATGTTAGACTGGTACAGGACATATATGAGGACAGCAGGACAGTTGTGAGATGTGCTGAAGGAGTGACAGATAGCTTCAAGGTGGAGGTGGGATTGCATCAAGAAACGGCTCTGAGACCCTTCTTATTTGCTCTGGTGATGGACCGACTAACAGATGAGGTCAGGCAAGAATCCCCATGGACTATGATGTTTGCAGATGACATTGTGATCTGTGGTGAGAACAGGGAACAGGTGGAAGAGAACTTGGAGAGGTGGAGGTATGCACTTGAATGACGAGGAATGAGAGTCAGCCGTGGTAAGACAGAGTACATGTGTGTGAATGAGAGGGAGGCCGGTGGAACAGTGAGGCTACAAGGAGCAGAGGTCACAAAGGTGCAGGACTTCAAGTACTTGGGGTCCACTGTCCAGGAAAATGTGGAATGTGGTAAAGAAGTGAAAAAGAGAGTCCAGGCAGGATGGAGTGGATGGAGAAAAGTTTCAGGAGTGATTTGTGACAACAGGGTGTCAGCAAAGGTCAAAGGAAAAGTTTACAAGACAGTGATGAGACCAGCTATATTGTATGGTCTGGAGACAGTGGCATTGACAAAAAGACAGGGGAAAGAACTGGAAGTGGCAGAAATGAAGATGCTAAGGCTCTCCGTAGGAGTGACAAGGATGGATAAGATTAGGAATGAGATCATCAGAGGTACAGCCCAGGTTGAACAACTGAGAAATAAAGTTAGGGAGGACAGACTGAGATGGTTTGGACATGTCAAGAGGAGGGACCGTGGGTATTTTTGTAGAAGGACGTTAGAAATGTAGTTGCCAGGAAAAAGATAAAGAGGAAGGCCAAAGAGGAGATATATGGATTAGAGGATGACATTTTTTCGGGAGTACCGCCGGTCACGTGATTCCAGCTGGATTCCAGTGGGACTGGAGTCAACCTCATTATAACTCACGTGACCGGGACGTGAACGGGACGTGACCGGACTGAAAGCTAACGGGAGCAGACAGGAGCGGGAACCGACCAATAACCAAAAATGAAAATGAAATGAACAAACAAACAAACAAACAAACAAAAAACACAGGTGCAGCTATTTTGTAGTTTTCTTTCAGTAAGCCTTCACTTTAACACAAGTCAAAAGGACTACATTTCCCAGGAGTCAACT